AGAGAGAGAGAGAGAGAGAGAGAGAGAGAGAGAGAGAGAGAGAGAGAGAGAGAGGAGGAGGCTGAGGACTCTACTCTCTGTCGGGGATGTAACGCACCGACTCCAGCGTTCATTCCAGGACGCGCTGGAAATAATAATTCTCTCTCTTTTTTATTGTAATCCTACAATAAAAAAGTCACTTTTTTAAAGCGTAACGGGAGACTTGYGTGCGAGCGCCTCAACTAATTGTTGCTTTTCGGACAACTAATCGCTCCCTGCTGGCTTCAGTTCCAGCTCTGCAGCATCCTTGCAGCCTCTGCTGCTGCCGATTCCATTTTCCCCGAGACTGCATTTAGAGGTGCCACCGACGGAACCGGGGAGTGGGGCTGAGGAGGAGGAGGAGGAGGGGGGGCGCTCACAGATCTGGCATCCAGGACCACCTCCAGCAGCAGCAGCAGCAGCAGCAGCAGCAGCAGCAGCAGCGGATGGTGTCGTTGATCGATGATGGACGAAATGATGTGAAACGAGGGCAGGAGAAGTTCAGGCACGTTTAGGCGCGCACAGCACTCGGCTCGAGGTTGGTCCACGGGACGGACTGCCGCGCGGATCCTGCACGGCATCTGGAGGAGGAGAAGATCTCCAATGACAACGCAGCTGCATCAACTCACAGACACTGTTGCATGTTTTCGCGGCTGATGTTTCGGCCCCTCGGTGGCCTCRGCCGCAGATTGCTGCTGTAACAAACCGCTGCTTTCAAGTCGCGAGCACCGTTGAAAGTCGAAGCAGTTTGGATCAGGTTACATGTCTCCTCCACAGGATGTCTGACGTGCAAAGATGCGCGGGACTCACAGGATTTTTTTTTTGTTTTCTTTTTATTCAAAAATTTTTTTTAATCAGGATGACATTTAGTTAAGACAAAATCCAAACCAACGCTTTAAAAAATACATTTGCATCAAGAAGCTGCATCAAAAGCCGACCTCTGCCGACCTAGACTCTTTTTTTTTTCTTTTTCGGGGAGATGGCTGCGATTGCCAGCTCCCTGATCCGGCAGAAACGACAGGCGAGGGAGTCCAACAGTGACCGGGTCTCTACTTCGAAACGCCGCCCCAGCCCCAGCAAGGACCCTCGCTCTCTTTGCGAGAGGCATTTCTTGGGGGTCTTCAGCAAAGTCCGCTTTTGCAGCGGCAAGAAAAGACCCGTTCGGAGGAGACCAGGTCAGTGAGGCAGATCTTTTTTTTAACCCACCCCTCTTTCTCTCTCTCTCTCTCTCTTGTTCTTTCTCTTGCACCCCTTCCCACAAATTTGTGTTATATTTGTGTATAGGAAAGACAGTCACCCCCTCCTCCTGCACACACCCACACACACTAAAACCCACACATTTAGCACCACAACCCCACCCCCCATCCACCGCGCGCACCCCGCCCCTCTTTGGAGCAGCAAGAACATTACACTGCAGTCAAGGACTTCAGTCTGAACTGAACGAGAAGGTAGATTTTCTCGATTGTGTGAAAAATCCACCTGTTTCAATTTTTTGTGAAGGCCCCCCTTGTCTTGCACGAAATTACACCCCCCCCCCCCCACACACACACACCCACTGCCAAGCAGGAACTGTGAATGCATATGCCGTGATCAATGACGTTATACCTTTGGCACAACTCTTGATGATGGACGATCAATTACCCTGAAACAGAAATTGATTGGAAACACAAGTGATGCCACTGTGTCCATTAAGTCAGGTTTTGTTCTATACAGGCATTTAGTCTAACAGACCCCCCCACACACACACACCTCACCCCCCTCGATGCCTATAGCACCCTAACCCTCGCCATACCTCCAAACACAAACGCTCAGGCAAATTGAATAGATGGCATAAAGCTGCTCTAAATGACCTAATTCAATATTAATGCAGATTGGGAAACAGWGGGGAGATAAGTTGCACCGCAGTGCACCAAGGCTCTTTTGAGATTAAATGTTTTAATGGTAAAGGTTTATTGCAGAGACGGAGCTTTGCTGCAGCAAAGGGAGACATATAGAAGAGCGTCCATTTCGGCTCCGTTCCCACCAAACTTCAGGGGACATTCGTTTGATTTCCTCGTCCTGAATGCACGCATGACAACCCGGTTGTGCAAGTCACCCCTTCCCTCCCCGCCCTTCAGATAGTTCTGTTGTGTGAAGAACGAACGTCCCGCAGACAGACTGATGGGGAACAAGGCGGGCGGGCATCAATTTTTAAGGCTGAATGGGACGACAACACTGGCAGTCCGCCTGCCAGCGAGCCAGGCCGAGTAGAACTTTGTCATCTTGCAGCCTCAGCAGACAATATGCGTGCCAGAAGGGCTTCAAATGACTTGAATATTCACTGATAGACTGCATGGACAGACAGACAGACAGACAGACAGACAGACAGACAGACAGACAGACAGACAGACAGACAGACAGACAGACAGAAAACAAAGCTGAGGACCCTGTTGGGCAGGTAGGTATTTCCCCCCAGTTGACGAGCCAAAGATGCTGTATATGTCCTCTATTTAATTTTCCTTCCATTTGCACTAATGCCTTTCCATTTGCCAACAAACAGCCAGTACGCTGGAAAATTTATGAATTCTGCCTGTTTAAAAGATTCTTGTTTTTCCTTCTATCCTCCCCTTCACCACGTAAGACGCACCCTTGAAACCTCCACAGGTGTCCCATAAGGGCTGCAGGCTAGGTCAGTAGCTCAGCCTCCATTCGTGTGTGCTGTGTTTCCTCGTCGTCTCCACCCCATCTCGCGCCCATGTCGACAACCTCCTCGGCCAGGGAGGGGGGGTGGGGAGGGCTGGGTGGGAAACAAGTGGGAATGTACGGGCTGGGGTCCTCAACACCTGTCTGACCACCGACGACCCTCTCCCTCGCTGATCGTCTTCTTTCATTCCTCTTTCTCTTTGGCCTTTTTCCTCTAGATTTTGATAAGCTTAATTTCTTACCTGTTTCCTCTTCTGTAGCTAAAGCTCACCTGCAACTAGTTGTCTATTGCTCTCTTTGCCTCTTTTCATTTCCTTTTAGTCTCATCCTTGTCGTCAGTCAGTGTTGGCTCAGTTTCTATCGTCGTCCTGTGTCTGTAAAGTTGTGCTGATCACAACTGTGCCAGCAAAGCACAGGCTGCTATTGGTGTGTATATTGGTGTAGACTGACATGGTGTGTCTCTCCTTGTCGAGCACTGCATCAGAACAGGTGATCATTCACCATTTCATGGTCATGATGCCATTTGTCAATGTACCTGAATGTTTTTGTCCTTCTTGTATTGGTATGAAGTGAATCTATTGTCCTTCTAATGGTCCATACGCTTACAGAATGATCTCAAGTTTGTTGTCGTCGAAAGTCATTTTTCATGCACAAACACAGGATGCAAAAATGTGCACTGCAGCTGCACCCACAAACACACAACATGCACAGCGCACACACTCTGCTAAAAGTCTTGAACCGATGAGTCGTCAGCAATAGCCCCGGGGAGCGATACTGTTGCTGTAATTTATGGAAGCGTAGTTATCACATGTGATTTACTGATGTGTACGCTCCTATGTGCTTTCAGACTCACACATAGCCACACATAAAGTACACTTTCATTCTCCTCAACTTGCTCATGATGGATAATGAAGGGCCTGTCCTAGGAATTGATGGGCCCAAACCCAGGGGTAGGTGAGTTGGGAATTGATGGTCAGGATGATGTACAGCTGAGCGGACGTGAACCCGCTTTCTCCATGGGTCACCACTTAGCTAACTCTTTCCGCTCGCTCACTCCTCCATTCACTTGTTCTTTCTTTTCTTTTCTTTTTTTTTGTACAATACAAATAAATCTCAAACTCTTGCAATTATTGGAGCCACCAACTCTCATACAAATTCCATCTGTTATTGCTATTGAATTAAGATCCTGACTAAACCCATCTTTCTCTCACAAGATAGCGAGTCTCAAAATGTTTCTTTTTTTTTTCTTCTGCAACAGCATTTGGAATGCTTTGTGACTGGCTGTGCTGAAATGAATTGTATGTCCTCCAATTTGTGACCTTGGAGGACAGTCTGGCTCCAAAATATCGCTTCCCATCACAGTCCTCATTTATCAGAGCAAATACACACACGCACACATACACACACAAATATAGCAACCACCTTCAGTTTATTTAGAGACTTAAATACAATTAAGCGCCAATAAATTGTAAAAAAATGCTACATTTGCACCTGTTGCCAAGTAGCTGATTTGAATAACAAAACAGTGTAATGTTTGCAGAAATGCTTACGAAATATATGTTGCATTTTTATTTGTTTCATCACTAAAAAAACGATTTAACAAACAGTACAGTTAAAAAAAAGACCACTCACCTGGAAAGCCACAACTAATTCTGTTTAATATACAAGTCATCCAGCTCTGGTTTTGGATCTGCAGAGTGATTGTACATCCGCCCCAGGTATTCTTCCCTGTCCTTGTCAGGGCCAGAGCAACTTTCATTGCTCTTAGCAATAATTCTCATTTTCACCTGCTCTACACTTCAAATGTGAAGCACTTGAAGCTGCACACCAGCCAGGCGCCGGCCGTGCTACCCTTCAAAGCTGCAGGTCAGTTCAGGGTTATCGTTAGGAAAGAACTCCCACCTGAACGGGAACACACTTGGTCAGCTTTGTTGGCTCTAAAACGTGTCTCCAAAACAGGTTAGAGTTAATAAGTTATTCATAAAAAAAGAAAAAAAAACTTTAATCAGAGCTTCACCCCCTTTTTAAAATCATGGTATTAATTACAAGAAGCACAGCTGCTTCAATAATGTTTTCAGTGGTTTCTAAACTATGTAAGAAAACCTTCAATTTTTCTACATTTGATTCAATAAATTACATGAAAAAATAACAACCATCTTATTGATTTTCTGGTAATGTAAACTCAGAGACCTGCAAGTCGTACAGCCTTTTACCCTTTTATGATATTACGTGGTGTGGCAAATAAATCATCACAGACCTTCCATCACAGTATTATTTATGCCCACCGGCTGGTAAGAGTAAAGCGGACATTCAAAAAGGTATTGCTTCATAAGTTGTTTTATGTTTTGGCAGCTGTGGAAGCTGGAGTGTGACACAAGAACAATAGAATTGCTTTTACACCTGGATAATTAGCATCCAATCACTCAGAAGGGGGAACGGACCACATTCCAGGTCTTAACATGGCTCAAATATATTAAATTTCATTGTTAGTTATAAACAAGTTTGTATTTGTCTGCAATCAACACTTTAATATATTTGGTAATAAACCCACCACAGTTTGAGTGACAGTTGTGTAGGAAACATATAAATCTTATGCCTGCACACTCCATTTTCCCCAGCCTGCTGTAATTAATGGTCCAAAACTGCTTCATATTGGAATATTTACGATGGCATCTTTACGAGTTATTTTTCTAAAATTGGATGTTTCTGTCCCAACAATGCAAACACGGCTCTGACATATTTCTCTTTTGTGGGGATGTGGCTGTGGCTATGCCGACGGTTGGTGTGCATGTGCGTGGTGTGTTTGTGCGCGTTTTCAGAGCCACAGCTGAAAGGCATTGTGACGCGACTGTTCAGCCAGCAGGGCTTCTACCTGCAGATGCAGCCGGATGGAACCATCGACGGCAGCAAGGACGAGAACAGCGACAACAGTGAGTGGAGCAACACGAAAGCTGCTGCAGCTTCCAGTTTAAAACCTTTAACGGCTGTGAGTCAGTTGGTTATATAACGTTTTACCACATTTGCTACACCTAATCATCATTCTTATATAACGGATGCCATGTAGGTCATCTTATCAGACTCCAAAAAGCTGTTTTAAGACAGGGACTCCTTCTAAAGAGGATTTTCTCAACTAAAACGTACAATTATTTAGGGAATTATTCAGCTCCTCACAAGGCAGATGCCCTCTTTCTTGCATTGTGGTTATGTAACGTAAGGGATTTAAATGTGTCAAGTAGTTACCTAAATGATTTATGTCTTCTTGGTTTTTTTATCACAATTATTTAGCTTTCACAGTATAATTATTCTGGTAATATGCATTCTTAAATTTATTCTAAGAGAAAATAATTTCAAACTAATTAAAGTGTTCTTTGAAGAGTCTTTTAGGAAGGTTATGAACAAATACATTCTGTTTCTGTTTTAGTTTTTTCTTAAAGACACTGACAATAGTTTAATTCTAATCAGACTGACATTTTTGGCTCTGAGGAAAGCCAAGYGCTTCTGCAAACACTATTTTATGAATCTTTACATTGTTGTAAATTTAGCATTAAACTGATTTTCCAGCCGAAATATTTCTTGTCTGGACCAGAAGTGCCACAGCTAGGTGCTGCTGTTTTTGCACTTGTAAAAAAATGTAAATAAGCTTTTGACCTCATTCTGACTAGCCGTTAGCTCATTAATCCATACAATCTCAATTTTTCCAAACTGTGGTAACTCAAAGAGCAGGGGAATTTTTAGGCACCTCATCATTTTGATTGGAGTATGATACATAGAGCTGTCAAACATTTATAAAACTATTATTGATGCTTTGATAAACACCCTTCAAACAACATCTTGAGCATGTAATGTCTCAAATCTTAAACAAAATATTTCATTTAGTTCATAGTTTTTGTTAGAGAAAAATTCTGAGAACTAAATTCAGAAAAACAGGAGCCAAAATATTGAGGACAGTATAGGGCAGAGGTTGTCCAAGCATCACATTCAAGCTTTTTTCTCTCCATCTTTTTCAGTGTTTTTAACAATTTTTTGTTCCAGTTTTAGAGCATAGGATTAGATTTAGTAGTAGAATTGACATGAGATGATCATGTTCTGGCTCTAAAAACTGCAACATACTGTATATCTGATGGAAAGTAATTACTGTTGTGGAAATCTTAATTATAACAAGGACAGAAACAGGGGATCACAAAATAAAAAGGCACTTCGTAGAATGGTCGTCTGAGTTTTATTGCAGCTGCAAGGCACAAAAGTTTAATACAGTTCTGAAAACAGTGCACAGTCCTGCACCAAAGTATTTGTGAAAAGAATCAAAGTTTGAAACCCCCTTTTATACTTGATATATGTATGTTTACATAAACTGACAAGAGAGAATGTTCTGACAAACTGTCCCCGTAGGGTGACTTTCTACCACATACCTAAACCTGATGGTAAAACACACTATCTTAGAGAGGGCAGAAAATAAATAAATGCAAAACAATGGCATCATACAAACATTTGGATCAGCAACACAGGTCAGGGGAGCATGTGAAAAGAAATATAAGTTATTTTTTCCATTACAATTACCAAATCAAAAGTGTGGAAAAGAAGGCAGAGTTTTACTTAAAGTTTTTATAATTTCTGTTTGTAACCACGTGGCCAGCAAACAGTTTAGTGTGTTTTTTTTGAAAATAATGACCTTTTTTGTGTAAGAATTGAAAACAGTTTTTCAAGCCATACAAACAATCAGCGGTGGGCAGCGCTAATAAAAAAATTAGCTCCGCAACTTCTAAACCGCTTATAAAAATTTTTAGGTCCGCAATTTCAAAACCGCTTATGCTGTGGAAAATCTAGCAGAAGCTAATTTTGTAGCGCAAGTTCAATTTGAAACTTACCAGCTGACAATTCATGTACAACATATGCACAACACTGCCAACTAGCGGTGCATGAACTCTTTTACAACTTAATTCAACTACTGGCGATTGCGGGGATGTGATTCCCTGAAACAGACCTTTAGCTCCTGGTGTAAAAATTAAAAATTTGTTGAGGCTTGCTAGTTTGGCTGCTTCTTTAAAAAAGTTGATGAGGATTGCTAGTTCGGCTGCTTCTTTGTCTTTTTCTTTTGTTTGTTGTGGATTTTTCATGAAAGAAGCATAAATAAAGTAATCTTAAAACTGTTTATGACACATTCTGGGTACATGACGGACTGATGGGAAATGAAAGCACAGGGAACAGGAAACTAGTATCTTCCCTTCAAAATAAGAGCTTGGATTTTAAAGTTTTTCATGTTTCCATTGGATTAAAGTTTTCCATTTCACCTGAAACTAACGTCTTTAAATCATTTTTGATTTTCTAACACCGTTGGCCGATTGCTTTTGAGCTCCAGCATTTAAACTTTATTTTTTTTAAAAAAGGAGCTCTGATTGTAAAGTAAACTAAATCAATACTTACAAAATTTTAGTATGGATTACAAACTTTTACTAAACTTTTACTAAACTTTTATTAACATTGCCTTCCTGCTATGTAAGCAGACACAAAGCATTGTGGGAAATGAGAACCCTGACCGAGAGCAACTGTCTGGAAGGATATATATGTTTCCAATACATGTGTTTATCATGGAGGAGTACTGTTGGACACATCACGTGTGTTGTGATTCATTGACAGCCAAATCTTCCACTGGTCAAGATAACGATGACTGGAAAATAATTAGTTATTAGTGGTACTGCATTTTAATTTTAGAAAATGCAAATCCGCTTATGAATTATAAAAATTAGTAAGTCYGCTAAAACGCAAATGACATGTTTAGGTCCGCAATTAGTGGATTTGCGCTTTAGTGGGCTTGTGCCCACCACTGCAAACAATATTGTTTAGCCCACCTTTGCYCACATCATTCTGTGATGCAAAGAATCAATTGTTCACATTTAAAAATCAAATCAAAATTGTTCATGTTGCAATGCATCAAAATATAGATTGTAAATCTCATMTTTATCAAATCTGCAACAGGTAAGATATTGGCTGTTTAACATATTTCCACAGATCTCCCTTTTATCTGAATTTTGATTTGAGATCTCATAATAAGATGTTTTTTACTTGTACAGAATGCTTAAGTTTGTCAAGAAGTGTTTAATGATCAATCTCCAAAGGATATAAGTTGAGGATTTTTTTCTTTTCAATTCTTGTCATGAAACCCACAACCAGCGAACCACCCTGCTAAAAATAAATAAATAAATAAAAAAAAAACTTTTTCTCCCAAAAATGTATTTCTATGGTGGTTTAGTAATAAATGAATAATCTCCAGTTTACAAAATTAAACATAAATCAGCAGAGCTTGCTGAGCACCCTCTAYGCTAAAACCTAGGCTTTTAAAGACTTTAGCCATGAAGCACTGAAAGTGAAGATATATGTCTGCACAGAATGGTCATCAAAGAGATGATAATGCTCCCAGTCTGGATCAAAGCCAGTCAGGAGACCAATCATGATGTTTCTGCTCTAATAAACCTCTTGCCAATCCTTRAGGAAAGCAGGAGCCAAAGCTGCAAGATGGTAGCAGTCGGGCAATGAAAAAAAAAACCACCCTGTTCCTGTCAAATGTCACTTTAAATTTTACGATGAGATAGCTCTTCCGCTAAAATGGCTTACAGCACAGAAAAGAAGGTCTTCAGGACAAAAAGATTATGACATTTAAGAGAGGACACATCATCACAATGCATTTCATCTCTGCAACTTAGCAATTAAAAAAAATTCAATAGCTTTATTGTGTTSTTAAGGTTATGGCTGTTAAAAGTTTGGAGGGTTTCCCCACCCTTAGGTAATCCTTCAGTTCAGTCCCACTGGCCCTGGGATGGAGGAATGCGGTGAATTATTCAGCTGAAGCAAACTAAAAATACCACCTTCTTTGTTTGTGCCCAATGAATAATTCTCTAGAAGAGATGCCTTAAGCAGCGGAAGACAGAGAGAGAGAGAGAGAGAGAGAGAGAGAGAGAGAGAGAGAGAGAGAGAGAGAGAGAGAGAGAGAGTGTAGGAAGAAGGAGCTGCTGTGAGACAATGTAAGTCTTTCAAGCCGAAGACAGAAACACAAAAAAACTAAAATGGGAGAGTGATTAAGATGGCTACAAATGGAGGKGGAAGATTTAGTATGCAGGTCTTGCACAGAACTATCGATCGCTGGGGTGGATTATTAGAATAATAGAATACCCTCTCACACACACACCCTTAAACTACGCCACCCTCTGACCCGCAGCCTCCTCGGCGGCAGCGGCCGATGGAAAACAGTAATTTATTTTCAAGCGGCGGCTCAGGCCATACACTGTGCATCGTGAGCTCCGGTTAAACACAACTCGGTTTTTGATTAGTTGCCATATTTCTGCGATGAATGAATGTGCTGAGAAAAGCATAAAAGCAGTTTATTCTGACAAACACAGCCCGCCCACTCCCACTCACAGACACAGGGAGTGCAGCGGGGTGCTGGATTGATGATAATTCCTCCTGTCACACAGTCTTGTACATTTAAATTGATGGTGTGTTTTCAAAGAAGTTTGGGACTGAAAAGCGGAAATTGCCTGCTGAGAAAGCATGATCCTTAGGAGACTTCTTTCTCTTGGAGCCCTTAAGTGATGACAGATATTGCTACTATTTAAGGTTTCTAATATTACTTAGTACTGAAGTAGMAAATTATGCCTTAGATTCAAAGAAGTTCTGTTTTAGTGACTCATTAGTTTTAGTCTTTTAATATGTCACATAAAAATAACTTTGGTTTTATACTTTTTAAAAGCAACGGGAACTTTRAATAAATGCAACTGTGCAAAAACCCTAATATAACTTATTTGTAAAATATTATATGCACTAAATTATAGAGCAGTTGTGCTTCCAAAAATAAATTGTTCGATAAAACACAATATAAATCYGGCTCTACATTACAAAGTCAAATGGCTTTAGTAGAAAGTGTTGCAAAACTGTGCAWGAGCTAACCACATTGGCCCTGAAACACAATTATTCTAATGAACAACCATGTTCAAATTTAAACAGTTATTAATTTGATTCTCATCAAATGCTTGGATGCAGTAATGATCTGCACACTCTGAGACCGTCGTTCATGTCTGCAGCATTAAATATTAACTTTCCATCAGAGAAGATGATATTAATTTACATCCTGTTTATATGTATGTATATTTGTTTCATATTTCATTTTAAGGTTCAAGTTGTATTGCAATAATTTTGTTTTATTTACCACAAAAATTCTTTCTTATTTTGAGGGGGGAAAGGAAATAAAAAAAAAACACCATAAATAAAAGGGCAAAACTTGAACTTTTTTTTCCAGAGATCTTTCGATTTGAGTGTTTTGTGGATACCTTTCACATTTTAAATTTGGCTAAATGTCCTTAAACCTTTCCCACAGGTTCCTCACCTCCCATGAATTGAAATTCCTTTAGCCTAACAGCAGGATTTGCTCCAAGCAGATTACCGCTCTACTGGAAGGCTTACCGTTTGCAAAGATTTTTGCTTTATAGGTGTGTTAGAATCCATTTTGTCTGACACTTCAACAATAGAAGATCCATAGCTATCTCTTAGCTCTCCCTGCACCAGTTCAACCTTTCTTTACTGTCAGTGAGGTTATTAGAGAAGAAGGATCACCTTCAGGATAGTCATCAGATACTCTTAATATCAGTCACTGCTGCTGTAATTATGAAATCCATCAACTGCTAACAACAAAAAGGCCAACATTTAAACAGCAGCCAAATGATAACTACTGTCAGTTTCATATTTTAGAGCAAAAGCAGCAGATTAAAATTAAATAACTAAGTGACGTGACATGTTTTATGTTGATTTTACTAAAAAAAAACAAAACAAGTATGACCTATGACTAGTTCGCCTGACATGCTGCCAGTAAAGGGGCTGATATGAAAAATGGTAAAGGAACTTGAGAAAAAGTAAATTCACAAAACTGAAGGTGTTAAACAGTTTTCTGTCCAGGCTTTTACGGTACACATAACTATGGAAATGCTCAGTTTGTTTCGCCCGCTTCATTAGCCTGAGGGCAGGTTTAAACCATTGCCAGGGAAAAGCACCCTGTCGATATTTATTGAGTGAAACTGAATCTGCTCAGAGGACTGACCCATGTTGGCACATATCTGCTTCTCTCTGCCAGTTTTAGTCGATACATGCAAAACAATCATTCCTGCGATACTGGGAGTGTACGGCAGGTAAAGAATGCCTCTACGTTCATACGCATGTCTCAGATCAAATGGAAGAATGAACACAGACTCACTGTAACAATCACCCTTTGGTCCAACATTGCCACTTGGCCTCCTGCAATGTTTTTTTTCCCCCATGAGACAAGTTTATCTTTGATTTAATTGGTGCCTGTCTCACTGCTCTACACTGAGCTTTTGTGTATGAGTTGCCACTCAATAATAAYTCAATTTTAATGTGATGGAAGCTGTGAGCACGTTCAGCAAAATTTAATCAACACCACAATCTCACAGTAATACAAACCAAGATCAGCCGACCAAACCTAATAAATGTTTCATCARACAACAGTTTGACCTCGAAATTTGATTATTGTTTAGCAATCTGTACTGAATGGCACTACGTGACACCATGTTTTAAAGCTTTAAGCTGTAGCATACAGATTTTGTTTTTGGTGCRTTGGCCATGTAGGTTTCTAAATGACTGTGTTTAATCCAGAACTGGTGCATCCAGTGYCAATATATGGAAATGTGTGTGCACTTATTAGGATTCTTAAAAAAATGTAATTCACCAAGGACAGATTTTATCATCTAGTTTGATTGTTTCATGCTTAGGATGCACAAGATGGCTCTGTTTTTGCCCTCCTAAAACTTTGAGTTTGTCACATGAAAGTTTGGAATATCTGTGTTTTGCTGTAATGTTTCATTGTGAATTGCGTCAGTGTTCCCATTATCCCTGTCCTGTTCACTTTACCGCTGATGGATAGTCAAAGAACAGGGATCAGAGGCTGTAGTGTCTGCAAGAGTTAAGTGAAAACTCAATTGTYCTATTCTGTCCTTTCTACTTGACATCTCTCTTTTGTCTCTGCCTCTTTGTGACTCTGTCTCCTTTCTCCCTGCCTCTCCTTTATACCGCTCTGCTCGGCAGCCCTGTTTAATCTTATTCCCGTGGGTCTGAGAGTGGTGGCCATCCAGGGGGTGAAGAGTGGCTTCTACATTGCCATGAATGGCGAGGGCATGCTCTACAGCTCGGTAAGCTCCTGTCACACTATTGTTTAAGCCCGTGTGCATGATTAGTCACTTACACGTGTTTTGTTTTGTTTTTTTCTCGCTGTCGTCTGTTTCATCATCCCGTCACAGTAAATACTCAGCTCCACCAAAGTCTTTCATCTTTGCTCATTAAAAAAGAGCTCGTCAGATGTGGGTTTATGTTGCTCTGCAGCACCTTAGTCCCTCATTGTCTTTGAAGTAGCATTGCCTGTCTTGCTTTTCATTTATTATAAAGTTTTGTGTTAAACCCACTTTAAAAASCCCCGTTTCTTTTTTTATTTGCTACTACCAGAAGCTTGTTTGGCATTGATGAACAGATGATTTTTACTGCCCTCTCACATATTTGCTTGGTTCAACTTTGATTTCTGTTTAATCCCTGTAACATTGATACAACTGTTCTTAAAGGGGACCTATTATGCAAAATTTACTTTTTAAAGTTTTTTTTACTCAACTTTTGGGTATGTACTTCTTAAAAAAACAGTCCTAGGACCAAAAAAATGCACCCAGGGGCATATTTACTGTAAGTAAATGTATTTTTAATGTGTATTAACAACAAGTCTTATACTTCCATCATTTTGTGATGTCACAAGCCGTACGACAACCCACCGGAACCTGCGTTTAGCCCCTTACCTAGCAACCCCCAGGTGAAACTAAAAAGCCGTCACGGTAGTTGTTGTGCAATGCACAGCTCATTTCACAACAAGCCTCTAATAGGGCAATGGGTAGAGTGTTGGATCAGAGAGTGGGAGATCAGGGTTTGAGACCGGCACAGACACATACAATTTTAATTATTTATTTTCATTCATTGTGAACATGTTTTCTCATGTACCTCTATTGTTTAGCTTGTTAAAGCCTTGTCAAAGCCTATTTGTTTTAGTTTTTGAAGTATTTTGAGCGCTGCTGCTCCCTGCTCTGGTAACAACATGCAGAGTGAGCGCAGAGCAGAGGAGGGGTAGGAAAAAAAAGAAGCTGGGACCACAACTCTGCCTCTGGGTCTCATATGGTTGTACAATGGAGCTTCTGCTATTATTAGCCATGCTAACGTAAATGCTGGCTTTGGAGGGCGGAGTTAATGTCAACAGATTTTTGGAGGGCGTTACCAACAGAGCTCATTAACATAAACAACTCTTCTGAATGTAAGTCAGAGCAGGCAGAGCTAGAAAATGGGAAATTTTATTATCTGAGAATTATTTTGTGCATTAAATTGAATGAACATGGTCTGGATAGCCCACAGACATACCATAAAAAATTCAAGGACATGGTCTCCTTTAAATTAAGGGCCAAGCATTTCTTAAAGGAACATGCTTCACCTGCTGCCTTTCGTGCTAGTTTTAGACCAAGATTATTTTGTGTAGTGAAATGACAGTTTTATCTCTTATTTCCTATTTCCTAAACACACAAGTTATAGTTCAAGATCTGTACAATCGCCTGAGTTACAGGCATTTTCTTTCAAAATCAGTTAGCTGTGATGACCACCTTGATTTGGGCTAACTTTAAAAATATTCAGTTGTAGAGGTGCATTTATACATGCAATCAATATGTCTTGAAAGTTTCATTAAAACTTTTTACGAGATATTTTGTTCAGAGAGAGTTGACTCCAAATGTTTAATCTTTTTCAATCTGTAAGTGCTCATAGTAAAGGTTTTAAGGGTCAGCGTTAGCTACTACCACACTAACTAAGAGGCCGATATCTGTAAAACTGACGAGTTATAGCTATCGTATTCTTTTAAGGTTTGTTGATTAGCTGTGGCAGCCATCTTGAGCCAGGGTGCTGACTAAATTTTATCGTTAATTCATCCATTGATTCCTTTCTGCAAATTTTGTTAAATTGTATCTAGTTGTGGGGTATTTCAGACATAAGCGATAACATTATCACTTGCCTTTCTCTTAGCAGGATGATAATGAATGCAACATAGGGTACATGTGCAGAAGATAGACCCAGAAATGTTGTATCAGTTGCTTTCACCATTTAGATGTTTTTCTATGTTCAAATAATCGGTTTGTTGTCAGAAGCAAATAGACACATAAGATTACTCAGGTGTTATGTTTCTAATCTCTATACTCGTGTTTCTTAATCAGATTAAACATGGTGTTACAGAAGACTGAAGAAAACAGCACAGTACTACATGAAGACATGTGCTAAGGAACTTTTTAGTTAAGTTAATGGATGAGGAATGATGAGACAAAGCTGAAAATCACAGCCTGTCTATCTAATTCTGGTCTACCCATAATTATTTGAAAAATATAGTGATTTTTTTTATATGTATCTTCTCTACTGCTATAATCGAGCATTGCTCAGATAAAGTAGGATTGGGCGATATTTGGTAAAAAAAAATCACGATAATTCATGGCGTTTATGCTATAATGATTTATATGAAAATTAATAAATGACAATTGATTTGGACTCTAATTCTGTGTACTAAAATTATACTTACAAATCAGGCCAGTCAGTGAAACTAACTTGTGCACTAGCTGTGAACTGAAACCCACTTTTTCCAAAATGTGGAGTGGCAGCATATCGTTAATAAAGCTACATGATGCCTGTGCTATCTCCTTCCAGTGCTTACTTTGCTGCTCATAAGGGACAGACAGACTGAGTCATGATCATGCAACTCAAATTGCAGTAATTACAAAGTGGCGAATATTAATTGTTGACACGTTTTCTGATGATTTTGTCCAAACCTAAGCTTAACAATGAAAAAAGACTTACAGACCAACAGGTTAGATGGTGCCYGCGATGCCTTGTTTAAAACAGTCACTTGAATAATTGCTAAGTCTCGCAAATTGAGTGTAATTTATTCAGGGCGAGGATTTTTGGCTTTGTGCAACTCAAGCACAACCTGACAGATGTACGAGCCGCTCACAAGTTCAGGGAAGGTCGTTCGGCAAAGGATGTGATGACTCACCAAGGTAGACAGATTCATTCATAACTGAAAGCACATAAACAAGTGCACAATTCACAGCCTTGTCATAGGGCCTTCGATAAAGCTCCACCCCCCTTTCAGGCCTAATTAAAGTTTAATCATGCCTAGACAGGGGTCTTTTATGTGTCAAATAGACTCAAAGTTAAAGATGCTGCACAATTCCACATTCATAGCCATTGATTTAAGGAATCATCATTTGGCTCCGAGTCCATGATTATTATTAATTAAAAGTACTTAACCACCTTAGTGTCAAACAGCACCTCGTAGCTAATCATTCTAACTCTAATTTTTATGGGCGAAGAGGCAAAGTTTTGACCTTTGCAGAGGATGAAGACATTTCTGCCATAGGGGTTCAAAATGTTATTTAAGCCATTAAGAACATGCATTTTCTGGATGTGGTGTCTCAAATGTATAAAGCTTGGGAAATTAGCAATGTGTGGGTGGTGGGCTGAGGGACCCATAAACCATGTAGTGAGAAGCTTCCAAACAACAAAGTGGCTCAGAACACACTAATTACTACACAAACCATGATAAAGCAGTGGTGTTTTTTCTATACCTTCCCTGTATTTTTTTATTTTAACAATGCATGTTAAAAGACAGTTGAAGTCATTTTAAAAAAAGGGAGTAAAAGGGAGCATTATTCTGAAGGACATTTTGTAACTGATTAATTGGATGTTAGATGMAGTATTTCTGATCATTTCAGCCTTTAAGGTTAAAACAGATCAAGCAAGAGTTGGTGTATGTCTTATCATGTGTTCTTTCTTTAGCCTAAACAAAAATAGTTATGTTCTGACGTCTGACATAAAAGGTAACACCTCCAGAGGTGTAACCAGGAAGAGATGAACATTATAAGGTCAGTTCATTATTAAAGCAGAGAGAAGTTGTCAGTGTGTTGCACAGTCTGCTCAGAGCAGGGCAGCTGTGTTTTGGTTCAGCCAAAGGTCTTACTGAGGCCTGGGTGCTGAGTGCTGTACTGTGAACCTGATTGGAGTCAGAAGATTGAAAATAGTTTTAAGAAGAAATCCAGCTGATTCCTGTTTATTCAGACATACCATTTTGAATAACTCCTATTTTTTCTACAATTCATTATCTTTCTTGTTTCTCTCAATTTACTTCTAATTGAACCTCTCCAAACTCCAAACTCTCACATTTTTTGGCCTTGTTTGGTCTTTTTTTTTTCTAATTTGAGAGCAAAAGTGCTCAGCACTTTTATTTCTTGTCTTTTGGGAAATAACTACTTGGAGAAATTTCTAACTCTCCTTTATTTTTTCTACTTCGTTACAATGTCTTCATAGTGAGAGGATGTAAAAAGCTTTATTGTTTCTGTGCTTGATGCATATCTGAGGTGCTGCATCAGATCTTTCAGAAGGCTGTCTTTCAGTCTTTTTGATGTGAATGGCAGATATGTGTTCAGTTTTTGGACTTACGATTGCTAATAATAAGCTAAAGGATTACATTAAGTAAATGGTGGTAGGTGGATTTGTTTTTTCTTTTTAGAACTGGAGTTCATCACTCCCTGTTAAGGCTGTTGCTGATTGAAAGCTGAGGATGAGCTGCGTATTAATGTTGATGTGGAGTGTTTAGTGATGAAGTGCGTGGGGGGCTGAGCATCTACAATAACGAGTTCTTCTCCATTATTTATAACACACAATATGACCTACTTTACTGCACAGCAGTAACCACTTCTTTGCCTCTGCTGCAGGCAGGCCTATCTGTCTTTACCCATCTATCATCTATCTACCCATCTATCCAACCAACCATTCATCTGCCCACTTATCTATCTTTTTACATTTATTGCACAACAAAATAAAGAAAATGAACAAAAAATATACATATACATACATACATATATATATATATA